GAACCATGGACATTTAAACCAATAAACCATGTATCTTGATTAAGGTGAGACTAATCGATGTATGTGTAATGTGGTGTCGTTTTTCAAAATGGAGGTTGGTTTTGGCCTATGGGACAAAGTTAATAATCACAATTTTTTGTGTGACATATATATAAAAATAATGTCGTATTAACAAAAAAAGGAAATACGTGTTTCGTTATTAGCAAGACGTGCTTCGTCAAATGGTGATCGAGTGTTCATCAAAGGATTAATGTTTGCATCAAAATTGTCTTTGACATCTATGTTTGAAGAGTTATCTTCAGGAATCTGAGCTTTTTCTTGAACTTTCTTGACATCATCACTTAAAGCTAGTTGCGAATCCTATATTTGAATCTAGATGATTTAGAGGTGGAGAAAAATTTGTTTGTGTATATTCTTCAGTTACCATGACATGTAACTATCTTGTGGTGTGTGTATCAAAAATGGGGACATCATCATGTGTGTCATGAGTTGCTATAATGTAAACCTTTAAGGTTAGTCTCATTTGCAATAATATTAGTCAAAGAAGAAGGACCAATAATATCAAGTTTGATATATATCTCTATCATTGTGCTATTAAATTGACTTTGAAAAGCATCAAACATGACCTCAATATCTTCATCATCTATAATGTGATGACCTTTATACTTAGGTGGACTAATAAAATGAAGATACCTACAAGTGATGGTAGAAATAGTTTGATGGTCATGTAATTTATGTTTGTCGCAAAATTTTCTTTTTAACAATGAAAAATTAATTCCACAACTAATGCAAATGATTTTCGTTTGATCCACAAATGATAACCCTTGATCATCACAAAATTGATGGTTGTTAAAATATAGTAAACAAATAAAACTCATTTTCAATCAAAAAATTTGTAACAAAAATTATGAAGGAAATTTAGAAATAGTACAACTTGGGTATAAGTCTACCACAATATTAATATGCATCAACCAAGCCCTAAATGCAATTAGTGTGCCACTTATTCTCTATGTATCACACACCCTTTTATCACTCTATGCCTTGCTCTTTGGCAACTTATGTTAAGTACTACTCGGCTTGGCTCCCATATCGTTTTCAACATAAAAATCTAGAGGAGACAACTTTGAAAAAATAACTTTCCATTTAGAAGATAACTTTCTCATTATAGGGTTTTCAATGTTGAGCTCGTAAAGCACTATGATTTAGATCCATGTAGTGGGGTTTTTTAATTTCTAAACTAACTTTCACTCTTCTAGTTTTTTATTTTACTCAACTTTCAACTTAAAAAGCATGCATAATGCACACACATCACAACTTGAATCAACTTACAACTCACAACATATCAAACTTGATTCACATACAACTTTCAACATAAGTCTTAACTTAATAGTAAACATCATCATTCATCTTTGTACAACTCATATAAACATCATACAACATTAGAACATTAATTTATATAACAACAATAGATCATCTAACTTAAGATTTTTCAAAATAGGATTTTCGTTGAGCAAACTACCCAAATTCTAAAGGAGGATTCTCGCTTAACTAGACTTCCCTTGCTAAGTAGCCTCGCAACTTAGGGTCTTGGTAGAGCCCACAACTCGCTCAATGAGCTTAGAAACTCACATCAACCAAAGGTTATCTCTCGTTTAGTGGATTTGTATCACTTGGTTGGACAAAAATGCCCTTAACCCAGATATTATGGCTTACTTAACAAGACTAGCTCACTAAGTGAACACAACATGGCCTCACTAGTGACCAAAGCTCAGTCAACAACTATTTGCTGCTTAGCAGAGCTTCAATGTGTTCATCAACAATACCCAATTTTGTTAAGCAAGTACTCGAGAATTTGGGTTTTGTCTTTCAACCTATGAAGGTCTACTCAACAAGAAATGTCTTGTTGAGCTAGAATTTTTTGCACCATTATTGTGCATGCATTCTCCAACATCAATAAATTAAACAGCAAGCTTCCCTTACATCAACTTGTTTCTTATAAACTAGAATTTGAAGAAAAGGTTTAAAACAACAAAGCTCCTTAATGATGATTTCTCTCTTTAAAGTCCAAGCTTCACAAAGCTTGAATTAACTTCTAAGACTTAATCTTAGCTACAAGGATGGATATGAATGCTCCTAGTGGAATTAGAATAAGTAACAACCTTATTTGGTTCCAATGCTCCTCTCTATAATTTCTCTTTAGAAAGTTTGGAAATGAAACTTATGAAGTTAATAATTTCAAAATTCCTTGTATTCCTCTTCCCTCTCTTGGTCAAACTTGACTTCAACTTAAACAACTTATAACAACCTAACTCTCAAGGATTTCTTAATCCTCAAAACTTTAACAAACAAATAAAAAATATAGGTAACAACACAAAACACCATAAATCAATGTAAAATCTTATAATGAGTATGTATAAAAAGCATAATGTTACAAAGAATTGAGAGGGAAAAATAATTTGACGACAATAGGAAAAATTATTTTTCCATCCAATTTTATAAGATATACACGTCATATGCTTCATAACTATCATGATGTTATGATGAATCACTCATTGGTTGGACACCATAATTTATTTTATCATATTTACTTGCAATAAAAAGATAGCTTGAATTATGGGTTTAAAATTCTCACATGCAAGAAAGATGGTCATGTTACAACTACAACTTCAAATATAATTTTTAAAGAGGTGTTTCAAAATTTGAGTTAGATATTATTACTTTTTAAGAAAAAAAACAAATTCAGGCTTTAGCTATAACTCTTTCATGTCATCTTTTTTATTGTTATTTTTTCTTTGTAGGCTTATCATTATGATTTATCATAATTGAATAACTATTTTTCTTCTACTGCTATTTAAATAAATACTGCTATAAATGAATTTTTCATGCTAAAAGTATGTTGTATATACAAAAATAAATGATTTTATGTTAGTTTTATTTTAATAACAACTTTCAACTTTAATTATTCTTTATTAAAATGAATTTGTATAACAAGTTGTAATCTATACTAATATATAAAGGGGATACTCTTTTTGGTAATTACCCTGGTCTCCACTCTTTTTAGACCATTGTACCCTTTTATTTTAAAAAATTAAAAAATTATCTTTTAATCAAATTTAAGAATTTGAAACTAATAAATCATTTTTACAATAAATACTTTTGACTTTCATTTTTACATGAATCATTTTATTCTTTATTTATTTTTTAATAACCATTTTTTATAAGTAACTTCTCATTTTCTTTTTAATTTTTTTTAATATAATTTCCTACTAGTATAGATAAAACAAATGACTTTTTTATTAGAATATGTCACCTTGCAATTGATGCTTATATATTATTGGAAAATTAGTTAACAAATTAAATGTGTTAGATACATGCTAATGGTTCTATAACTTATGAAGTTAGAAATATTCAATTTAAAAACTTTAACATAACTTATTATTTATATTAAAGTTGAAATTAGATATACATATTATTAAAAAATAAAAAATACATTAATTTTCGTACTAATATAATTTATTCTTTCCATGCATTATATTAAGAATATTCGTGGTTTAGTTTTGTTTGATTTTTAACTTAAAAAATCATTCAAATTAAACAAGAAAATTAATTACGGTTTGATTTGGTTCGTTTTAAATATATTATATAATCTAAACCAAACCAAAATCATCGATTTTTAGTATTATTGTATTGATAAAAATATCTTTGGACTTTGTCAATAATTAATCTCTCTCATGATCTTATATTAAGGTTATCCCTTCTAATATTTTTTTTTTATTAAACTCAAAACTCGAACTTAAAAACTTAAGGGTCAACCATAGAACTAATTAAACCAAACCAATCTTTTGTTGTTTAATTTTTACGATTTAAAAAAATGTTTAAAAATTGACTAAAAATATATAAATAATGTTATTTGTTTTATACTTATATGTCAAAAATAAAATTTAAAATATAAATTACTGAAAATTTCTGTCCACTCAATATATTCAATACCAATTCTTATTTTATTATTTTAGTGATAATACTTCTTTAATGTAAGTTTAGTTATTATATTAAACATTTATATATATATATATATATATATATATATATATTAA